AAACTCTCTGGCTCCGGGCAGAGAGGATCCCAAGATCAGTATATGTTGAAAGGCAGTCTCTCGTCTCGGGAAAACAGCTACCCAACCTCGATTTAAACGGGGTCTACGGGGAATTTTTGGTCGAGCCTACGGGCTCGGATGCCCCACAGTGAATTCGGCCTTCTGCCTCATCTGCTCGCGTGAGGCGGTTGGTAGATATCTTGCATTTGGAGATTCATTGTGGAATTCCCTTGACTCACTTCTAACAGTTGACTATTTCTTCTACGCGCCGCTGGCGAATCTTATATGCGTTTTTCCTTTCCCAAGTATTACCGTTCATTACCAACGTTCACCAACCTTCCCTGTGTTACAATATTTTGGCGACGATGATTAGCCAAAATTACAACAGGTGATATGTTTATTTACATTATTTGCATTCGAACTATTGACCTCATCTTTGTTGTTAGTATCATTGCGTTTTGAACGTTGTACTCTTCATCAGGCATATATTGGTATAGGTGACCTTCAGTGAATACTGAAATGAACTACTCTACGGGTGTAGACTGTTCTGGTTTCACTGTCTATATTCTAGAGATATCTCGTCTAGATCTTATTACCCTATTTACATTATTCGGATCTCATGTTTGTCGCCATATTTATTACAACGTTTCGACCGTTGTATGCTCCGACCTTCTTCAGGTGCTTGGAATATCGAACTGAACCCCTTAGACTGTTCTAGTTCCACATGCCATGTTTAAGGGATGTCAGTTATCAGTTATCTTCTGTTAATTCCCGTCTCCAAATACTCCACTGCCTTAACCGGGTATTGAACTCACACTCTTTGGGTCCTGTCACTAGATCTAACCAACGCCTTTATCCACTGTGCCATGTGGCCTTGAGAAATTAACAAGATATAGCTGATAACTGACATCCATCAAACATGGCACGTGGAACTAGAACAGTCTACCCCAGTGAGCGAAATAAAGGGTTCAGTTCGACATTCCAACCACCTGAAGAAGGCCGGAGCATACAACGGCCGAAACGTTGTAATAGATATGGCGACAGAGATGAGGACAATAGTCTGAATAATGTAAATAGGGTACATAATACCTCATCTCAGAAATATAGACAGATACTAGATCTTATTAGCCGTAATGTTTTGTTATTGCTCGCCAATTTCCCCTGAGCAGTGTGGACTTGAGCTCAGTAGAAACAGCTACGTTATTGTGTTAGGAAAGTGGCTGAGATGCCAGGTCAAGAGCAATACCATTGCAGATACTTTGGATAATGGATTTTATCAAGAATCTCTAAATATATAGCAGAAGCCTTAGATCAAATGTGACAACAATATTCACGGCATGCACGAATGGTACATATAAAAGCATAAGATAGATTCTGTCGAGAAAATCTTCAAGCCCAACATAGTGAACCAACATTCATAACAGCAAACCTAGGGATTGATTCACTATAAACTTTCCACTTCATGTCAGCGGAAACCATTAGCCAGCGAAGTCGCTATAAATCAATCTCCTGGAGGCTAGCATCAGCCATACAGATGGAATTCAAAAAAAAGTTCTATGACGTTATTTAAAGTGGGCAGTTTTGTTTTGCAGTTGTTACCATTAACAAACCATTTGTTGCCCAATTTAACAAATTGACTGGAGGACATTTTTTAGATCAGTTGCAAATTTGGCCTTATCGAACATGTTGAACTTACTATGAAGACAGGAGTAAATAGTTGTGTTATTAGCAGAGGTATCCATTTGAGAAATGATGACACCAGGAAGATTGTTAATGATAATTATGCACAATGTAGATTCAAGAATGTAAGTCTGAGTGACATCCGCATTAATGTAAAAAGATCTAGAAGGTAAGCCGGTCAAAACAAGATTTGGTTGTCTTTTTTTAAAGATGTTACAATCTAAAGTAATTGTTATGACAATAGGAAAGCTATTTTTTTTTTGGTCTATGTCTGGGCGATTAGCTTTGATTTTCCTATCCGTGTGCATTATAAAACACTATTATTAATGATTAGCTTTCATTGTTCTGTCTGTGCGCATTTTAAAGTTCCATAAATCTGTTATAGGTCCTACGTCTCTAACCCGGGTGGTGTTCATACCAGTTTCTTGCAGTTTCCTTCCTGAAAAAATTGCAGATTTCCAGTTCCGATATTCGACTCTTCTGCCATGCCGTCTTTTATATTTAGTGTGTGTTTATACAGTGCAACCCGACACAAGATGGTCAATCGTTTTTGGATATTTATTACCGTGTCTGCATTTCCGGTTAACAATTTTTCATTATGGGTGCTAGGTAACTTCTAGCTTGGTCTTGTGTTGCAGCCATAAAACCATCAGATTCAGCTTTTAACACTGCACCAGGTAGCCACGGATGGGTTTGGCTACATCAGCTTGTTTTGTAAGGGCGGAGTACTGACAATTAAGAGGCGTATCTTGCCATCGCTTCTGCATTTGGTTTGTTGCATTTGCTTTCTTTTCTAGGCTCTTTACCGCTGCAGTAGGAGTATTATGGTTTACTTGCACTTCTTCACCCACTTCATATACCATTTTGAATTTGTTGGCTTCCTTTATTACTAAATAACGTTTCTTTTTTTTTGTTCTTTGACGCAGATCATCGCCCACACTTCTGTACTTTCCATGTATACTTGAAGAATGATTATTGTAGTTTTGTAAGAAAGTTCTAGTTGAACTAATCCTCTGCCTCCTTCTGATCTGGACGCATAAAGACGATCAACATCAGCTTTGGGATGACGCATGCAGTAGCAAGTGATTATTATTATTATTATTATTATTATCTTATCACTGTTACCGATTCATTAAACAAGACCTACAATAAGAAAGTGTTAATAAATATATTCAATTTATTGCACAAATACTGATGTCATATGATAATTAACTTATATAGAATTTATAATTTCGATATATTGCTTATAATTTCCTCAGTGGAGAAGCAGCTTCACACCAGAAAATTTTAGATCTCTTGTAAACATAGTCTACCAGCGATTTTGTTAAATTTATTGTCTTTAACTTATCTACTGTACCCAGAACAACGCCAATTATTGTAGCTATATCAGTAGTTTTAAATTATCTATTATATACCGTACCTATGAACACCAATGGGTATGTCCAAATCCTCATAAATGCGTTGGACACTAATGTAAGTCGGGGTAATATAATGTCTAAAGTGCCCACCACCAAAAGTGGTTTACCTATTTCACGCAGCTGGCGAGTATTTTATTTTGTTGATGTTAAAAAGATTACCATTTTATTTCCAACCCCCGTTTTCGTTATTCTTCATTCAGTAACCCTTCCTAGGTTACAACATTATCATAATTTCAATTTCATTTTAAAGATCATTATATGTACTTATATTTTCATATGATTTAACAGTTAATTTTTTAATCTGGTGACACTGCCATACGGAAAGACATTTTTTGTTCCTTTTTTATTTAGTTAATATGCATAGTCTATTATCTTTTTTGTGTTTCAGAATTAATGACCGGGAGGTATGGAGGAATAATTGGTAGCGGCTCGGATTGAAATATCTGAGAGCCGAGTTCGAATCCCAGTTGAGTTCATTACATTCACTTGCTAACCGTACGAAATCATCTCTTCTCCCCCCATCTATGGATAAATAGTAGGACCAACTAGGCACTGTATCCTTGGTTGGTGACGAGTCTAGAAGAAGGAAAAATTCTGAATCATACCAGCCTAGAGAGGGTTGGGCACTGTCCGTCAATCTTAGCCAGGAAATACGACTTCTACCACGGCTGCAGTACACAGAGTGTCACTACGGTCCTAATGAGTTACCGGATTGTGATTGTGATTAACGGCAAAATCCCAAAGAAATGTTATTCTATCATCTAGTAAAAGGCGACAATAAATTGTAGTTTGAAGCAGAAGTATTGATCGATTGTAGTTGGAGAATTAACTCTGAGCCATTATCCATTACACCACCCGCACATCCAAACTTACAGCACCTGTTATTTCCAAGCGGTCACCCATCTATGTAAGACCAGGGAACCATTGATTCAACGTGAGTTTCTGCAGAAATATTTATAATGAATTGAAGAAACAGAATATCCTTCATATATAATTAAATATTTGTAGATATCTCTTCATGAATGAGTGTGGCTAAGTACGAATGAAGCCAGTTTTGGTCCACGCCTTCCCGTATTATCTACATTATTTTTCATTTTACTTCCATCCAAAACAAGACCCAAGAGCCACTTAATGTAGTGTATTACTGAATGGGATTAAAACTTGAAGATATTACAACTGCAGTGATCGTAGAAGCATCTTCCCTGGAGTATGTTCCACAAAGTAGCCGTTTCTGGGGATAATTTATCCGAGCATAAGTTCTATCTTCCTGAAGGAATAAGAAGGGATGATTCGTTCCAATGGACGTGGCATGACGGATCTTAACGATGAATGACTGAACCGGTGCAACTAAGGAATGTATTGGGTTGGTGCATAATTATCAGGCATTTTTGTATATCTGTTAATAAAAATTGCTGTTATGTTTACATTTAAAAAAAAATTATTTTCAGGTTATAAAAATGCGTGTCGATAATCATGCAATTAACAGAGGCACGCGGTTCTTATCTATCTATCTATCTATCTATCTATCTATCTATCTATCTATCTTTGTATCTATCTATCCTCTCTTTGTATCTATCTATCTATCTATCTATCTATCTATCTATCTATCTATCTATCTATCTATCTATCCTCTCTTTGTATCTATCCTCTCTTTGTATCTATCTATCTATCTATCTATCTATCTTCAAATCTATCTATTTTACTCCGAATTGTAACATAATGTCAAAATCTGTTTGCCAAACAATTACCAAAGAAGCATGTTGTTTTATAACATTCTAATCTATCTATCTATCTATCTATCTATCTATCTATCTATCTATCTATCTATCTATCTATCTATCTATCTTACTCTGAATGTGTAACATAATGTCAAAATTCGTTTGCCAAACAATTGCCAAAGTGATGTGCGGTTTTAAAAAAAAATTTAATCTATCTATCTATCTATCTATCTATCTATCTATCTATCTATCTATCTATCTATCTATCTATGTGTGTCTGTCTTTTCACTCATATCTTTGCAATATCTATTTCCAAACAGATTTACATATGTATGCGTCCGTGTGTGTGTGTGTGTGTGTGTGTGTGTGTGTGTGTGTGTGTGTGTGTGTGTGTGTGTGTGTGTGGAGTGCGTTTGTCCCTGGAGTGGCTTGGATAGACTTGAAAACCAATATCCATGTAAATACGAATTGAATAACTGATTTAAAATCGCGCAACTGTCACAAGTGTATCATTCAGACCTGTCGCGTCTTTATCAATAAAAACGCAAAACCTGCCATTGTTAATCGCGCAACGATTGTATGATAGAAGTACGGATCATTTGGCTTGAATTGTGTCCGGTGTTTGTACAAGTGCGAACAATGGCTCCCACCTCGATCCCGTATTTTACAACCAAGTGTGTCTCGGCTTTGTATGAAAGTCAGTCAAAACGCCCATTTCGCCTCAGGTTTAAAACTGGTCGAGCAAAAGGTGTGAAATCCAAACAGGGACAGATCGGAAATTCTTCTGGTCAAACGACTATCATTATTGAGGGGAGACTGCTCGCTTTTTGTTTTGTATTTCGTTCTCTCGTCAGCGACACACTGATCAATTGCCAACGGGATGAAAAGAATAAACGTCTCTCCATCGTGTCACATTCGCTGTTTTTACGTGTAGAGTCTGTTTCTTTATCGACTTTGTAAATCTTGATTCCGTTTTGTTTCTTTTCTGTTTCTTTTTCTTTTTCGTCCTTTTTTTTATTTCTTTCTCTCCACTTTTCTTTATTACTTACCTTTTTGTTTTTTCCGCTTTTCTTCTTTTTTTTCGAGTAAGTTTTCTGTTTTTTTTTCTTTACTTTTCATTCTCTTTGCTTTGCCACTGTTTTTAGTTCCTGTTCTCTCTCTCTCTCTCTCTTTTCCTTACGTGTTCATTCTTCTTTCTCTTCTGTTTTTGTCTTTACTTTCTTTTTTTATTAAATTCATCTCTCATTGTCTACTTCCTTTTCGACTCAAATTTTTCTTCACAGCTTTATTTATTCTTTTTTCTTATTTTCATTTCTTTCTTTCTTTCTTTTTTTATTTTCATTTCTTTCTTCTTTTTTTTTTTTAATATCGGCTTGGTTTTCTTTCACTAGATTATTTATCAATTTTTCTCTTCTTCCGCTTCTTACTTCTTTCTAAAATTATATTTAATGATTTTACAAGCTTCTTCTTCTTTTTTTCTAGTATTGCTGCTGCTAACTTGTTTACTTTTTCCTTCGTTTTTTTTTTTCGTCTTTTTTCTTAGCCGCCAATTTCAGTACCTTCTGCTTTTTCTTTTACATTTTTCTTGTAATTTTTCTTTATCATCATCATCGTCATCACGATCATCATCTTATTATTATTCGAACTCTTTAATTTCTTCTTCTTCTTCTTCTTCTTCTTCTTCTTCTTCTTCTTCTTCTTCTTCTTCTGCTGTTAACGTGTTTACTTTTTTCTTCATTATATTCGTCTTTTTTCTTAGCCGTCAGTTTAGTACCACCTGCTTTTTCTTTTACATTTTTCTTCTAATTTTTCTGCTTCATCATCATCATCACCACCACCACCATCATCATCATCATCCTATTATTCAAACTCTTCGATTTCTTTTTTCTGCTTCTCCTTGTAAGAATAATAATTATTATACCTTTCTATTTCCTTTTCCTTTTTTATATTTTCATCTTTTTCATCTATTTTTTCTTCTACATTATATTTATGTCCACACTTGTCATCATCAGCGTCGTCACCATCATTATTTCTTCTTCTTCTTCTTCTTCTTCTTCTTCTTCTTCTTCTTTATGTTCTATTTTTCCATCCACTTTTTCTTCTTTTTCTATTCCTCCTCCTCTTTTCTTCTTCTTCCACCGTCTTCCTTCTTCATTTTGCCTTTCTTAATATCCTGCTTCGTATCTCACGCCTCCACTTTCATTGTCTCCCTATTGTAAACTTGTACTCATCTTCTCCTCCCTGTGCTTTTTCCCTCTTGCTATTCCTCTTGCTCTCCCTACCGATCTACGAGCATTTCTTTACCTTCCAAATTTCTACCTTTAGTTATCGCCTTGTTCTGTCATATTGTCCAGCGCCATTTTGAAAATCGCTGGCAGAATGGCTTCTTCATATGTACAATAGCTGGACAGATGTCTGTAGGTGAAGGAAGGGCGCTCCAATAAAAAGCCTCATGCCTCTTTCAAAAGCTGTTTCCTGTGCAATCGATTCCTTTCGAAATACACATTCACGCTGCTTGGCCGAACAATCAATGGGCAATAGACAGTCCCTTGAGGCATTCCGTGATCATTCACATCGGTCAGTTTGGATTCTATTTGGAATGCATTCTGTCTTATCACAACACAAGACATGACGGTAGTAAAAACACACGCCGTCAAGCACAAACCATAGGCTCCAAACTCAGCTTATAAATCTTTCGAGCGAGGTCGATTAAAATACGCTATCTGAAGACATAAAGAACGCACATCTTTTTCTTTTTTTTTCAAAATAAAAAGAAGTCCCATCACTGCCAGATTATTCTCCATCGTATCAGTCAGCGAAAGTTTCTCATGGATTAATATTTAACGACGACTTTTCTAGTCTGATTTTTTTTTTTTTTTGCTATTTCTTTCTGAAATGGCTAAGTTAGCTCAATGTATATTATATTCCATTCTTACGTGTCACGCGTTTGGGTGATCATATCGCTTTTCGATTAATGATTGACTTGGTAGGAGAATATCCACAGTAATCTCCCTTTATTTTCTGCGGTAGGCTGGTAGAACAAGTCTGTCCTACTATTTCAAACATAGAGAGAAGAGATGGACTCATACCTTTCCCAGTGATATTTGGACGTAGATGGAGGTAAAAAAATTCTTCTGAAATTCGAAATTTCCGATTTCTCATTATTATTTTACAGTTGAAATGGCTAGATGTAACTGTAAGTTCTATGCTAACAGTTTCTTCCTTCACACTTCTTGCCTGTGGAATTCTCTTACGCCTTATTGCTTCCCATTCAGATTTGATCTTTATATTCCGTTTTCTTAATTCTAGTTATTTTCTTGTACTCTTTCTTGAATATTTTTTTAAAATTCTCCAAAACTCAGTAAAACCTTGCATCTTATTAGCGTTATTGTCTGACAAGACATTGAACAAAAGTTTACCATGACGTGCTTCGCTTATCAAGTGTAATCAGAAAAAAAAAAGATTTTGTTTCAAGGAAATCTTCATTATCGCGACAGAACGTGATTTACGTTAAGTACAGAGTGCGATGAATAAATTGTTTTAATTTACATAAAAATGAAAATAACACGGACATCACATTTTAAACAAATATATTTATAAAAATTACACAAAAATATCTTGAAATACTAAAAAGTAAATCTATTCAATAAAATCCCCATTGGCTTCAACCACACAACCAGACGACCTGGGAATCTCCTGCAACTCTTCTGGACAGTCTCCTTGTTTAAGTTGGTGAATGTTGCCACAATCCTTGCCTTAAGTTTATCTTTGGTGTTACAAGTAGTTTTGTTGCTTTTTTTAGTTCAATTGTGTCCCTCACATAATAAAAAGCGGGTTGCAAACTGGAGGGTGGCCAGATGTAAGAGGTGATATGCTCGCAGAAACTGACATAGGACATTCCAGCAGCCACTCTCTTGACCCAGCGCAGCATTACTTCCTCAAGGTACTTGATGTAGGCCTCGTTGATGAGTCTGACGCCCATGCCAACAAATTCAGAAGTTCTTTTCTTATCAGAACGATCAGTGTGTTTTCCGAACTGCCGTATATTCGTAATCACCATTAGCCTCATCCAACTCTTTCTGAATCCTGTGCACTGTTTTCAGATTGACACCCAAACACTCTGAAATGTCCGTATTGGAGCTTCCGGCGAGAATGTCAAGCAGTACGGTATTGCCATTTTCAAATTTCTGGCTTGAGTGAATTGCGCCATGATACTTCTTTCCTCACAGACGTTGACTAACTGACCAATCTATACTGCGCAGTCGAAAAAAAAAGAAACAAATAAACAACGCGCATGCACGAAATTAAAAATAATAAAATAAAATGGCGACAATTTACCCATCGCACCCTGTAGACGAAGACTTGATTTTTTTTTCTTAAATGCACGCTTTTATTTTAAAATTACATTTTAGTTCAGTTTTCATTACATTTTTCTGCTTCATTTTTCCAACACCAGTCTCTCATGAACATTTGATAAATTGAAGTAGCCTGATCGTATATTTATCACAGGGTGTGTTCTTAGTTCTGGTCACATTTTTTTTACTCGATTGGCTCGCCCACCCCCAGCATCAAACGACTTAGTGTCATTGTAAACACCACGATCCTTTCCTTAGTCGAAGAGGCTAGTATGCCCTACTATTTTAGCCATAGTTGGAAGTTTTTAATACAGAGTTGTACTACTCCCAGACCAGTTGCAACCCAAGGTTATAGGATCCAGCCTGTTCTGCTATTTACCCATAGTGTTCGGGGAGGGGACGAGAAGAGATGGAGTCATACTTGTAAGTGAATGTAACGTATTCGACTGGAATTCGAACTCGGCCCACGGATTCCTCAATCCGATCTGCTATCCATTATCCACTAAGCATATTAGACCTAAAAATAATAAAATTTCTGTTTTGTTAATATAAACTTGATATATATATATATATATATATATATATATATATATATATATATAGGTTTGTTCATTTACAAGCGAAAACACGTAAGGTTTTGCCGAATGAGTATAGCTGCATATATTTATAAGATTATTAGTAATATATATTATATATATATATATATATATATATATATATATATATATATATATTTATTTAAAAATTATAACATAAATATGTTATAAAATCACTACAAAAATAGCCATTTTGTTTAGCACCTCCGGTGTCTTATCAAATGATGATGTTGACTCAATATATATATATATATATATATATATATATATATATATATATATATATATTAGTGAGCCAGACAAACCTACCTAGGTTTCACCTAAACGGATCGTCAGGGAAAGTTTGGCTTTTGGCTAAACTTTCCTGACGATCCGTTTAGGTGAAACCTAGGTAGGTTTGTCTGGCTCACTAGGTGTATCTAGGTCTGCTCTACGGTTGTATTGAGCTCTTTTGTTAGTTAGTTGTTACTCGTATCGGGTTTTTTCTTTGGGCTTCAGACCTGCATCTGTGCGATTTTTTGTCGGCAGAAGTCCATGTTTGTAGCTCTTTCTTTTTTAAAACCTTTTTTCCCTCGAGATTGATTTGATTAGCAAATCAAAATTCGAGAGTTTTCGAAACGAGTCTAGTTATCTATCTATCTATCTATCTATCTATCTATCTATATATATATCTATATATATATATATATATATATATATATATATATATATATTATAAATTAATTGATTTAAAATATGTTTTTTTTCCGCTACACAGTTCTAACCATGTTTCAAAAATGGAAGCTAAAAGCCACGAATTTAATTTTGCAATTAAATTAAAGACATTACTTCCATTTCAAAAATTACTCCAAATTTCGCTTGAGGATGAATATGGATGTATTTCCTGTAGCTTCCGCTGTTGCGTATAGGGTCACAGCTTCCCCATTTTAGGTGTTACTACTGTGATTTTACTATAAGTAATTTTATTTAATTTAACGTACAACAAACTGCTCAGTTCATATACATGGTGAGGCAGGTTTGAGAAGTGGCTATTAATCAACTTCAGGGAGAGGGACATATTTCCGACAGGTACCATTTGGTCCGTTGTGGCTTAGTATTATTTCTTTTCTGTTAAAGCCATGGCGCTGTGGACGATAGAGCACCGCGTGTTCACCCACGACAGTTTCGTGAAGAATAACGAATGATAATAATGTTCAGGATGACTTTCGTCGCCGATTCACCGAAATTCCTATTCGTAACAAAAACATACGTTGGAATCACGTACTTTATACACGAGTTACGCTGATGAACAGCAGATCCTGTGGGGGACCCCAAGAACAGTAGGTATCTCAGAAAATATGGACCGTGTCAGATAAGCTTTGCCACGCAGTTCGAATCGCTCTGCTCGGAGGCGTGCTACTGAACTTGGCATCGATAATCGTTCGGTAAGGCGTATTTTGCATGAAGAATTGGATTCCCACACCTAGAAGTTGGTTATTTGTCAACAGTTGAGACCTAGAGGCTGTCCACAACGGCATAACTTTGAACGTCAGTTGGAAGGAATTTTTGAGAGAAATGACAACCTCTGTTTTGTCAATGAGTGATGATGCTCATTTTCATCTCAGTGGCATGACGAATCAACAGATTTGTCGTTATGAGCACAAGCCCGTATATTGGACGATTTGAAGGACGTCATTCGCGTAGAAAGAGAAGTTCTCATTCTCTAGAAAAACCCAAACATGTAGAGATAGGTTATCACTTAGAAAACTCTGAATGTGTGGAAATAAACAATAATCATTTTTTATAGATCCCAGTCCGAACAAGAAGACCAGTTTAGATGACACAAAATCTAAAATAATAAACCTATCTGCATATATGCACTTACAAAGGACGAAATTAAACTATAAAATTTGGCCTCAAATTTTGCCCTGCTCCGAAAAGCAATATAACAGACCTAAAAGAAAAACCTAGAGAATTTAAACGCAAACTTAGATTACAAACTGCAACTAAAATACAAATCGTTTAGTAATCTCACATACAGACAAAGACTAGCGTTAGAGAACATCCAACGAAATAACAACGTAATTAGAAAGGAAGCAAACAAAGGCAGCGCTATAGTCATCGTGGAGAAGATATGCGATAAAACCAAAATTTTATAGGTACTAGGGTGATAAAAACAACTATAAATTAATCGACACTAACATAGAAAAAATATATATAAAAAATTACAAAACTCTGCACAACACAGAACAAAATATTAAGAAAAAAGGTAAGGATTTCCTAATAAAA